CAGCTTCTTCAAACTCACGACTGAACTGCTGGCAGTTCCCCTGGAAAAATAACCCACATTAGAAATCGGGAAGGAATCATGTGTTCTTCATAAAAACTGCCCAATTTAAGGAATGTCTATTTTGAAATTTTCATTGGTTTAAAAGTGTATTTGAAGATACCTTACTGAAAAGTCAGTTTTAAGGACTAAAAAGATGGCACAGTCGGTCAAACGCTTGCTGCACATGCCTGGTGGCCTGCATTCAGATCCCTGGTACCCACATAAAAGGCTGGTTGCAGCCCATGTCTGCTTGTATTCCTAGCACTGGGGAAGTGAAGACGGGAGGATGTTAGAAGCTTGTGACCAGCCAGTCTAGCTGAATTGGTGAGCTCCAGGTTCAGGGAAAGAACCTGTCTCAGAAACTAAGGTGGACTGTGATAGAGGCAGGTACCTGATGTTGGTCTCTGTCCTGACACACAAATTAATAAAAAAAAAAAGTAAGTGAAAATTATGTTTTTATACTCATCATGAATTGAAACCAGAAGTGTGTGTGTGTGTGTGTGTGTGTGTGTGTGTGTGTGTGTGTGTATCACTATGTAGAAAAATATAAATCAATATTTTAGATCTGGAGTAGAATTCTGACAAAACATAGAATTTTGGCTGAGATCTTCATATTATTCTCTTTTTTCGTTACTCGATAGAAACAGAAAACAACTTTGTAGGGGGTCATAATGTCTTTAAATGCGAAATATCTCCTAATTATTAAAAAATTCTTCATATTATAAATTACATTGAAATATGTATTAAAATATAGACTGTCACACACTTTTGCCAACGTGTTTATCCATGGGTGCTGAGAATGAAATTACCGATGCTTTTCTTAATTCAGGATACATTTTCATTTTGTCTTCCATGCACTCTAGCCAGATGAGTGGGCAGTTATTTTGAAGGTTGACAATCTGCTCCAAGTTTTGGAATACAGGCAAATCCCCCAAGAAAGAACAGAAAAGACTTGCAATCCTAGTTCAGAGTGTGGAGAATATATGGGCTTTCGTAATAAAACAACACTTGAGGAAAAAACATATCCTGGCATGGCTATTTACTGATGTTGTCATCTTGGGGAAGTTGTTGCTGTTGACTCTGCCTTCATTTCCCCACTTTTATGATGGGGTAGTGGACACCTTCCAGAGCTGTGCTAGTGATTAATGAGTACATTAAATGTTTTGTTTTGCGCCTGACAAATTTCTTTTTTTTAATTTATTTATTTTTACTTTATGTATATTGATGTTCTTCCTGCATGTTCATGTGAGGGAGTCAGATCTCCTGAAACATGAGTTACAGACAGGTGTGAGCTGCCATTTAGGTGCTGGGAATTGAACCTGGGTCCTCTAGAAGAGCAGCCAGTGCTCTTAACCACTGAGCCATTTCTCCTGCCCAATGCCTGACAAATTTCATGAGCTTTCAATCAGTAGTATTTCTCATGTTCTGCCCTCTCTTCTTCTCCACTGTTCATACTTGTTTCTTTATGGTAATGACTTTTTTTTCTATTCTGCAACAGACAATTGATAGACAACCCTGACTTCTGATAGTTATGGAATCTGTGGTACCATAAATACATCCTGTTTCTGGGCCTCATGAATTAGTTTTTCATCATTATTGGACAAACAGGAGCATCCTGGGTATTATAAATGGAAGAACTGTTAGGTGAAATGCTCCTTCAATCCCAGAAATGCCACCACAAAGCCATGTGCCATCACTGGAATCTGTTGACCTAGTTACGCCATCTCCAATTCTATTCCTGATAGCCTATAATTAGGATGGTCTGAAATAGCCTGAAAACACTCAGTGCCAGCATTTATCCCAAAAGGCAAGTCACAAAACCTTCAATAAGGCCTTTTCTGAAATTTGCTTTTAAATCAACAGATTTGACAACATTTCAGCATGGAGAGAGATGGAAAGGGGTGAGGAAAGAGGTGAAGTAGCTAGAGAGAAGTCGGAATGAGAGGGGAGAAAGGGGGAAGGGAAGGGGTAGGAAGGGAAAGGAGGAGAGGAGAGAGGAGAGAGAGAAAGAGAGGGAAATAATTTCTCATTTTTGTGTGTTTCATCAAAATGCAAAGCAAGGTCTTTCCCAAATTCATTAGCGGGTATCTCAGATCCATGCAAAAAGGCTGGGAGAGTCACCCCAAATAAAACAACCCCAATAAGTAAATAAAACAAACAAATCTTTACATCAACATAGTTTCTGCTTTTATGTCTGGGTCTAGTACGAACAGAGAAGCACTTCGAAAGAACTAAGTATGAATATAACAGTATTTTCAACCCCAAATGTCCCCCTACCCTCTCCTCCCCCCCCCCACAAACAGCGCTTCAGAAATCCAACACCTATCAAATATTTCCTCAGAAATGCCAGATTGCTGGGATTTTAAAGAGTTCCACTTTTTTTCTTCCCTTTTTGACATTTAGACAGATTGAATTTGAGAGAGGAAGTGACTCTGAGTCCAGACTGCCCCGCACCACTGTCAGAGGAAATAACCGAAGCAAAATGAAGTGATAATATACTGTAGAATATTTAACAGAGAGAATGAAGCAGGAAAAATGGCAATCTGAGACTACACAACTGGTCCCCAAAATAAATGTAGTCTCCTGTGCAACATCAGACGCCAGCCAACTACAGGAGATCATGAAATAGTAGAATTACCTTGCTCTGTGGGCTGTGTGTTGACATAGGAGCACTTAGACCCCAATAGTCAGGGGAGCTGGCTCTTTCCCCCAAGTTTCTGCCATCATTTGTCACAGAGCCTGTCAACTTCCCTCTCTTCCCCTTTCTGTATATTCAACAGCGAGAGAGCTAGCAAGTGACTATCTTAATGACTGCAGCATGTTGTGGTGTGAGGCCTGACAGATAAAGTACAACCCTAGGCCCTTATGCCACAGCGTGAATGAAGTCAGAAAAATCCAAGGGAGGATATTAGCAAGGTTCTTTCCATTCTGGAGAAGACTCAAGGTGACTAGGGACATTGAGATTTCCTGCCCAAGGAAAGATTTGATAAATAGGGTGGTGAAGGAAAAACACAGCCCCCTTCTGTGAGTTTAATGAGAAAACTGCCACCTCCTGGGGAATGAAGGAAGAATGCTGAGGTAGGATCTTCGCATCATGCAAAGTTGAAACTCTGGCAAAAGTTTCTTCATCTTTCTTCTGCTGAAACGTCAGAGAGGAGATTCACTTGGAAGAGGGAATTGTTTTAAAGACTCTTGCCACCTCTTGTTCTCAAATGAGTGGAGACTGGTACCTGAGTAGGCCAGTTTGTCCATGTGGGTGACTGAAAGACCTCTCTTTTCTTTGCTGGCAAATTCCCTCTCCATCTTCATGGTGAGGCTTTCAGGTGTCTGACTCGGCTGCCCACCAAGCCTGAGACCATCACCAACCAGGGGACCATCCCATCCCTATTTCTTCTCTCATTCTCTTCCCTTTCTTCCTTCCGTCTACCCTTTCTTTTTGCCTTCATTTCAACTCAAGGATGATCTTCCATCACAGAAAAGCCAAAATCAGGTTCCAGAGGTTTAAGTGAAGAAATTACTTAGAAAAAGTCACAAGTGATAGCCAACAGAAATCAGCTACAAGGTTTTCCTGGGACAATTATCCACTTAAGAACACACATAAATACAGTGAAGAGTTTTTCACTGAAAAGAAAAATGATTAGACCTGATTCCTAGATGCAGAAAATGAAGTTATTTAAACCTTGGGTCAAGTTTATCCAGTTGTGTGAATGTCATCAATGAAACAGTGACCATAATTTACAGTGATGAGATACTAAGATGTAGGGACAGAGTGAAATTGGAAGAATGGTTTGCTCAAAGTTCCTCTTAAAATTTTGCAGTTCTTTGACCTACTCTGGTGATGGGATGGCCAAACACCCTAATTGTCGTGCTAGAAACTCCATCCAACGACTGAGGGATCTGGGTGCAGAGATCCATGGCTAGGCCCCGGGTGGAGCTCTGGGAGTCCATTTAGCGAGCAAGAGGAGGGTTTATATGAGCGAGAATTGTTGAGACCAAGGTTGGATAAAGCACAGGGACAAATAGCCAAATGAATGGAAACACATGAACTATGAACCAATGGCTGAGGGGTCCCCAACTTGATCAGGCCCTCTGAATGGGTGAGACAGTTGATTGGCTTGATCTGTTTGGGAGGCATCCAGGCAGTGGGACCGGGTCCTGTGCTCATTGCATGAGTTGGCTGTTTGAAACCTGGGGCCTATGCAGGATCACTTGGCTCGGCCTGGGAGGAGGGGACTGGACCTGCCTGGACTGAGTCTACCAGGTTGATCTCAGTCCGCGGGGGAGGCTTTGCCCTGGAGGAGGTGAGAATGGGGGGTGGGGCTGGGGGGAAGGTGAGGGGGACGGGAGGGGGGAGAACAAGGGAATCCGTGGCTGATATGTAGAACTGAATTGTATTGCAAAATAAAAAAAAAAGAATATAAGAAATTTGCAGTTCTTAAGATACATTTGTTCAGTCATTGAAATTAAAAATATGGGGGAAGCAAGTTAGATTCTTGGCTCAGCTACTAGGGACCCTTGCTGATCTTGTAGAGGACCCTAATTCCATTTCCCAACACCCACATGACAGCTCATAACCACTTATAACTTCCACCTCAGAGAATCCAACCCCCCTCCGTTTTGGCCTGGTGGTCCTGCACACATGTGTGAACAAGCACTCACTCAGGCAAACACATATTCATGTCAAGTCAATCTAAAAATCTTTTCTGATGCTGAAGAAAAGGTTTCGTGGTTAAGAAGAGCACTTGTTGCTCCTATAGGGGGCCTGGGTTTGGTTCTCTGCATCCCTGTCAGCTAGCTCACAACCACCTGTAATTCCAGCTCTAGGGGACCAAAGGCCCTCTTCTGAACTTCAGATTTCACACACACATGACATTCACACACACACACACACACACACACACACACACACACACACACAGAAATGGAAAAAAGTTAACAAACATGCTTACTTCTGCATCATAGTGATCACTTCAGCTGCACTTATACTAAAATTGAAAGAATACAGAGAAGATTAGCATGGCCCCTGTCCAAGGATGAAATGCAAATTTGTGAAGTGTTCCATATTTAAATAAAATAAATAAATAAAAATAACAAACTACAACAAATTTTCCCTCCCCCAAAGAAAAGTTTACAAACACCTTATCACATTATTTCTTAAAATGACTTTAGTTATATATTATTTAATAAGTTGAAACTTTTTTCTTACATAATCACAAGGACTTAAAAATATTGATGAAAATTATTTAGCATATCCACTTAAATTTTAGTAGAAAATATTTATGATATAGTAATATATTTAATATTGAATAGATGATTTGAATTAACTTTCATAGATGGGTACATTTATAAGCTTAAATGAACTTTCAGTATGAAACAGCCATTTTTATTAGGAATTAAGTTAAATTCAGTTTTTTAGATTCAGGAAAATTATTGAAAATTTTAGGAAGACTTATTGATCATTTAAACAAACTGCTTTTAACAATTTAAGTTATATTTTGTAAATTCATTATTTTAAATGTTTTAGTTTTAATTATAATAATTGCATATTTTATCAATGATAATTATAATTATAGGTATCCTTTATTTAATATCTATAAGGTACCAGACATGCTTTTTATATTTAATTCTTAACTAACAATCTAATGCAAATGAAGAAATTCACATTCAAACATTCTAAAAACAGGATAACCAATTAAGTGCCAAAGCTGAACTTGAACTCAAGTTGGCTTCTCTCTCATTCTATCCTTCCAACCTGATAGTACTTAGCCTTAACATATGGTATATATGACATTGAATTTTCATGCATTTTCCACCATAAGTAAATAAAAATACTCCAAAGACAGTTTTCAAGACACAAAAACAGCACAATAATGGTAAAGTACAAATTTTAACTAAAAATTAAAGTTAATCTTTTTTTTTCTCCTTTGGCTAATGGAAATAGTCCTGATTTGTGCCAGAGGATACTCAGTGGTGAAAATAGACACCATTTGCTTTGAGAGCCTTAAATTTGTTATTAGTTCTACATTATACATATTGTTATGATTTTCATTTTGATGAGGTTGTAAGATCTTGTCATGGTATTCCCTTGTGCTCTGTTCTTGGACATTAATTATATGAAAATAGAACAATTTTCCTATACAAAGGAAAGGTATGGGACAAGAGAGGCTGACTGACAGCCTCAATTACTTTACTTCTGTATGATACATAGGGCACCATTTGAACCTGTAGCAATTTTCTGGCATGAGGAGTATCAAAAGCATACTCCATGGATGAGAGAAAGGATAGCAGTTCCTGCGATTACCCTGGCAATTGTCCATCTGCTTCAGAAGGTAGTGTTTAACCTGCAGATAATCATGGGGAAATAGTTTGATGATGCGTGTCAAGTTTTTAACTTTTTTTCCTGGGTGGAGGCAGAGTGGGGATGGGAGTGGTTAACAGTGCAAACTTACAGCTTCCCTACTAGCTCCGTGGCATCACAGGCATAGACAGTACAATTTTGAGCATCTTCTCACAAAACAAACTAAGAAAATGGTGCCATTCAATGAAATAAATTCTAATACAGATTCCAAACTCTAGCTTTCCTTAAATAGATGGAGTGGCATCAGATGAAATTTATAGTATGTCGCTGTTAGTGTTCATTCTTTCATTTCAGAATCACTGAATCACCATTAATGCAAAGGGATTCATTTGGAAAATTTTACTTATATGCTATTTTATAGTTTGTTTACATGTTATCTCATGTGCTATTCATATGTTTTATGCCTTTTGAGCTTGCATGTTTTTTCTGTGTTACAGCCAAGTCGATGTAGCTTGAAAAGAGAAGGATGATCTTGTCAAGTAGATTTTCCCTTCTTATGTCACTTAACTAAGGTGGCATGCCGTTGGCATGTTAATCTTCTAGGTTACTGTAACCAAGAGCTTCATAGTGTAAGTCAGTCAATTACAGAGAAATTTCATGTTTAAATGTTTCTTTGCTTTCATTATTGAAGAATTTCTTTTTGACACAACCTCAAATTTTGTTTGTTTCACTGACAAATAGTTATTTAAAAAAAGATGAAAAATGTGTCTTCCCAGCAAGAGCAAAATCTATGCACATATCTATGTAGCCATGTTGCATGTGAAATACCTAGCTTCCAATTAGTTCTTCATGGGGACTTGAACATCCCAGAATCTAGAAAACTAGGGAATTTAGAGGCAATGAATTCTTCTGTCACTTTTCATCAGTTTCAGTAAATCCAAAATCACCACGTCATGTAGATATTTTATAAATTATTAATATTAATTTACTCATACATCTAGCAAATGTTATATTTTTGAATGGCTTACAATGAGCAAAGAACTGTTCTGCGTTCACAACAGATATGTAGAGTTTGGAATCTGTATTAGAATTTATTTCATTAAATGGCACCATTTTCTTAGTTTGTGAATGAAAATATGACACAATATAAGAAAACAAAACATTCCCTGCTCTCAGATAGTTCACATACTAGTGGTAAAAATAAGAAATCAGCAGAAAGAACACATAGCAAAAATAGAAATAGATGCTAAGGGGAAACTCAAGAAAGGGCAAAAGTACGCTAAAAGGAGGGTGTTGAAATTTTCGATATGGTGCCATTAAAGATCTCAAAAGAGAGTGGAAATAAACGGGTACTCTATCTACAGAAAACTGTCACAGTCATGCGCTGTCTGGTACAGTAACCATTAGTCATATTGTGCAATACAGCTAGGAAACCCCACCATCACATAGAAGGTCAATGATGCTGCTCCCAAAGGAAAGATAACACAAATTTAATGTCCCCAAAGAGGAGAACAGCAGAAGCAGCAGTACAGAGGTGAGTGTGGCTGTACCCTGTGTGAAGGATGCATAGAGGAGAGCTATCAACTAGGACCAGGGTACTTAGATCCATGCTGGGGCTTTAAGACATCACTTGGGAGAGATGGAAAACCTTTGGAATGTGCAGAGTGGAAGAGTGCTCTAGTCTGATTTGCACTATGTCAAGGTCACTCTGACTGCTGTTTTGAGAATTAAGTAAAAGAGCCAAGGTTCTAAGTCCAGAGATCATTGTAATCATCCAGGGCAAGGGAGTGATAGTTTGGAAGAAGTGGATATCAGACTGAGAAGTGGTTGGTTAAGTTCTAGATGGATATTGCAGCAAGACAAAGGTATAAAGAGTATCTAGAAATCCTTTTACACCATAGAGTCTGGAAAAGCATGCCAAGATGTTAGCTGGCTGAACTATACAGCACATGTGAATATCTGTTTCTCCGTCCTATATCAGTTCTGATGCTAGTGTTCCATCTTGTCCTCCAACATGTACTAACTCTGCCTTCTCAGAAAACACAGAAGTAAATTTTTGGTGTTGCATAGTATTAATTATGTAACTGATAAACACTGAATGATAGTGACAGAGTAATAAATACAGTCATCACTTAGGAAAATAAATACCCACTAACTGATTCTTACACACCATTGTGAAGGATGCAGTACTTAACAGGGATTTTATTGGTGGACAGTTCTACTTGTGGAAGTTTATGAATGCCATAGAATTTAGCTAAAAGGTATATAATAGATATGTAAGACACATAAAACGCCATTTCTGCTGCTTTATCTACAGCATTTCACTTGTCATTCAACAATCAGATTGTGGATCCACAACTATTACCAAAGCAAATTCTTCAAAATTCTGTAGCTGAAGGAGTTGAGAATTCATTCCAAGAGGAATACTGCCTGCAACTCTCATGAGATGGCTTTTGTGCTCAGTGTCAATAAACACTTTAAAATGAACAAATATTGGGTCTGGAGATGACAGATCTGTTAAGAGCACTAACTGCTCTTCCAGGGAATCCAGATTCTATTCCCAGCACTTACATGGCAGCTCACAACCATCTGTAACTCAAGTCCCAAACATTGACACCTTCTTCCAGCTCTCATAAGGCCAGGCATGCATGTGGTACATAGACATATAAAAGCAGGCACAACACCCATACGCATAAAAGTTTTAATATTTTAAGTGAACAAATATAAATATTTAGAGTTTTGAGATAAGGCAAATGCATTTTGCCCTTTTATGTTTCAAATAAGCCGAGGTAAGAATTTCTTTCATTATTTTTCTGATTCTCAGTTCCTCTTCACTGCTGAGGAAGGTAATAATTGGGAATAGACTTCAAAGGAGTATGCATTTAGGGCAAAGAAAGGTCAGTTAGGCTGACAATTTGTTTGTATGCTGTTGTGACACTTGTTCTTATATGACTATGAAGAAAGTGCATTTAATTTTCACATCAATCAAGTAGCCAATGATATGAGAAAGTAAACCTTATCTTTTCTTTAGGTTTATCCACAGAGAGGTAAAGGGCAACATCAAAGTGCTCGAATTTTCTCATTTGATAATACTGCTCTAAAAGCTTATGAGACATGATTTATTCTGTTGTTTAAATGCTACCTTCAGTACAACCCAGAGAAATTAAATTCATTTTAGTCACAATCACTTCAACATGAATTAGTTGATAAAGATCTCTTCCCTCTTGGCAGAAAATACTAGGAAGTGTTTGAGCACAGAGTTGTGGAAGGAGTAAGAACAAAGACCGTCAATTTTGCTAGTTTGCGTTGTCCACTCCAAGTGTCGAGAACCTGTACAGAAAGAATAATTTCTAAAACAAGAAACTGCACAAACAGTTTCGTGTTGTCTGTTGAGGAGTATAACTCGATGCACTCTTAAACTTTTCTGTCTTTCCTTTGATTTGGTGCAGCAGGACAGTTATCAAGAGCATGACCATCAGTCGTAAAGCCAACCATTACTTCCTCAGGCTCCAAGAAAATAACTTACTCCTCTTCAATGTTTGGCTGAATAGTTTTATAAAGGAAATAATGATGACAGACAAACCAATGAAGTAGCATACGGCATGATGGTAAGTCACCTAAAGAATACGTATTACAATTTTTCTTCCCCCAATTCCCCTAATACTATCCTTTGGATCAGTCATCATTAATTTTCATTCTGCCTGTCTATCTACAATATCCATTTTCCCCCAATAGTTTGCTCCCATTAAGAATTATTTAGAATCTGGCTT